TTGATTCTATCCTTGACCTTTCCTTTTTGGATCGAGCTCCAGGTCGATTTTCTAAACATGGCTTTTCAAATGGAGAACGAGTTCGAATGTTCTTGACCTTTCAAACTTATCTTTGTTAGACAAGTAAAGTCTGTTCAAGCATAGACAAATTTTAAAAAGAGGAAATTGCACCAAATCTCAAAATTCGCTAATTAATGTATAAAAATCACTTTTCAATAATTTTCCGACTTTTATCACTTTTGGAGATTTTTACCCTTTTTATAAATTAAAAATACCTTAAATGTTGGCATCTGACACGTAACAATAATTAACTTGTCTTCGTATCTAGTTTTCAGAGTTGTACCATCGACTAAAATTAGGAATTGCATTGCATTTCAAAATCCTAAAATACATTTTCCAAAAGCCATGACGAATAACTTAAAGTAATTCTCGCCCTTCGTCTCAATAAAAAATGATGAGCAAAGATTAGTGTACTCATGTTATGGCAATATCTGGTCAATTTAGTATAGCTCTCATCGGTCGAGCCCATTGGTCTTCCCAGCCTTCTGATAGCTCATAACCACTTCGTACTCTCAACGGACGTCGTTAATGATGTTTGAAGGTCTATAGATCGGCCATGAGTCCTGATACTTGTTCATTATCTGTCGACCAATAAACCTATTTGGGCTTGCTTGTGATCATTTTGAAGAATTCCCACTTTGCAAGCATTTTCCCGTGTATACATTCAAACTACAAATAATTCATTCATGTCCATTTTCGTCGGGTGTAAATGCCAACAACAACTGTCGTCAACAATGACTTGTTTGATTTCTTCACTTTGATCTCAAAGTTGTATTTCAGTACAAACCTTTCTTTATTTCAAACAATTGTTCGACATACAAACTCTCATCATCAAGAACCACACGCGAAGAATAAGATAACGGCCCACTCGATCCAGCCCTTGCTCTCCCACTCCACTCATGTCTCTGACGGGATAAAACAAATCCTCATTTGTAAATTCATTATCATTCTCGTTATCGTGAACTATCGACAGAATTTTGTGTGTAACAACAAGATCACGATGAGGAACAACCGTCTTAGGAATAACCACAAATCCTCACGAATTATCTCCACTGTGTCCCAAAAATCATGTCATTGTGATCTCCTCCATCCCAATTTTCGTGTTCACCTTTGATGACATTCTTCCTCTCTAAAGTCATGCAAAGATGAGTCTTGTACATTTTGTTAAATTTAAATAGATAATTCACTACAGAATCAGAAGCAACTTTCATAGGTGGATCAGAATAGATGAATGCTCGTTAAATTAAAATCTCGGTTTCATATCGTACTGAGATGGAT